GGGTATATTACTTACTAGTGAATATATAAAGTGGTACAACTTCTTTGGACAACAGTATGGCATTAATTATATACCTACAGTTTAGTAACTCTACTTATAAGTATATACCCAAGAATAACCCTAGTACATACATATCAGGAAACCTCTCATGGCAAATATTTTTCACAGTAGCAAAAACTTAGAAACTCAATGCTCATCAATGAGAGAGTAGATGGATAAAATGTGACATATTCACACAATATTATGCAAATGACTAAACAAATTAAAAGAAGCATGAAAACATATGAATAATCTTAGTCATCTAATAACTGAAAAAGCCCCAAAAGATTCCTACATTATGATAAATTTTTTACTAAAGTTTCAAAAACAAAAAAGTTATAATTCTTATCTATTTTACAGAAATATATATATATCCATAACAATAAAACTATGTAAAAAGAAAAGCAAGAAAATAATAAGCATAGGACTCAAAAAAATGCTTACATCAGGTTGGGGAAAAAAGAATGGGTTATTTAATAAATTTTATGTATAGGTGAAAGTTTATTATCAAGGTCCTAGTTTTCATTTTGGGTGGTCAGGTCAGATATTTATTATATTATTGAATACCACTGCACAACTAAATATGATTAAGTAAACCATCCATAGACCAATAATGAGAATATATTATAATCCAATATGGAAATCAGTAAAATTATGTGTACCTGAGGCCCAATTTTTATTAAAAAATTATTGACCCATTATAATCAGATAATGTTTTTAATGTTTTAGAACATGTGACAAAAATTATGTTTTATAACATTTTAAAGATTAGCTTTCATATAACTTACAATATGACCAGCTTAAATTAATACAGAAAAGAAAAAAACTTACCATTGATATCAATAGTCTTTAGTGCCTGTAGCATTTCTGAATCACTTATAGAAATCTTCAAGGTACCAAGGACCATTGGCAGATCGTTCACATAAATCTTACCACTTCGAATTTTACTAAAAATTTTACAGGCTTTAAGAAGTTCTGCACACACATAATAAAACATTTAGTTAGTTAATTCAAAAGAGTAAATATCCTTATTCCCCCTACTCTCTTGAAAGAAATAATCATTAAAAGAAGGGGAGTAAACATTTGTTTCTCAGATTCTCTACTTTAAAATTTCGCTCTTGATTTATTTAGATATATCTGGAGACAGTGAGAAATTGTCAGAAAAGTCATGCAAAGATCACATAGGAAAAGGTTTCCTTAAGATTCCCTGGAAATTTTAAATACTTCCTCTGTGCTCTCATAGCACTCAGTATCTACCTCAACCAAATATCTTGGTATCATAGACTGCTTGCATATCAATATCATTTATTGAACTGAGGCAACACTTTTCATTCTTTGGTTTCCGCTCCTACTTCAGAATAGGATATCCAAAAAAAATCTGGTGAACTAAATTTGGTATAGTTCAGTAACTACTACATTTTATTTTCAGGAAACAGCACTAAATACAAAAGAAAGATCTTTTAAATTACAACAGTGACTTTATTAATAATAAAAGTTTTACTGGAATACTGGAC